TAATATTAGAAAAGTCAGGGTTCAAATAATTTTGTCTGTAGCAGTATTTAGAACAAATAAGTGGTTCAATAACCAGAAATATTCAAAAACGAAATTTCGTGTATGGTTAATACGATGCAACATTTTGCCAAAAATGGTGCAAATAGGTTTCAATTTTAATTATTTTTAATTTTTAATTCAAAGGAGATTTTCAAAATATAGTACTAATTCTATTGAGATGGCTACAATTCAATTTATTGACTCTCTCTTTATCTCTGAATCAATATTTATAACAAATAGGGGATCGCCTGAATATCAACAACGTATAACATTCAAAAGTGAAATTTGGATTAGAACAGCGAGTGGAACCTAACTTAATTTCTTCCCATTTAGAAGTATTAATTGACTATAAAATAGATGATGTTAAAGAGTTCGCAGAGTATAAACTTTTAATTATACACCAAAGCTTAATGTAATTCTTCTTCCGTTTATTTTGCTAAATAGGTGCAAAAGCAGATATCGTGGAGTTTATTTATAGAAAGCGCGATTGCCAAATTTCGGATGTAGTTAGGGGCTATGAGTAGAATCGTACATTTTTTCAATTATACGCTGGATGTCATTCAGTCGCAGTTATGACATTGCGTTTGTATATTCAATATACACACCAAAGCTCCTGCGCGCGCTCTTCACAGCAAAGCGCGGAACTAAAATATACTTATTAATTTTACAACCATATCTTTTCGACATCTTCCTGAAATTGCTTCCCCCTCACCCTTAGGGGCTCTAGAGTGAAATAACACGGGAAAACGTTTCGACATCCGAAATCGGATGTCGAAACGTCAACGGATGTCAAAGAGATAGGGAAATTTATACGTTTGGATGTCGAAAGGTGCGGTGGATATGTAGGCTAACTTTAGTGAAAATATGCTAACTACATTTTTTGTAGGAAATTTTTTTATTTTCTAACGGCTATCCATTTCGACTAGAATGTCATCTTTAGGCCGAGCTGAAAGACTTTACATGAAAACGTGTATAAAACAAATATACCTTTGTTATACCCTGTATAGTTTTTTTTTCATTTTAAGCATTAGGATCTCGGAAACCGTAAGACATAGAGATTCGGTTAAATGAGGAAAGAGTTGTAGTTTTAAGAGCTTATTTAAGATATGCTTTTGTTTTTGTTTTTTTAATCCACAGTTTACTTGATATGAGCGGAAAACTGATTTAGTGATTTTTCATTTAACTGTTGTAGAATCGTTAGTATTAGAAATACAATGAATTTTGCGTATAATGCACACATTTATGTTTCCATTGCATGAAATATGGTTATATCGTGTTTGTAGTAATAGCTATCTCAATTCAAGATACACCAAAGTTACAAGATTTGGATAAAGTAACCGTCCACATAATGTTTTTATATTTCGTAGGTAATCGATATACTGTTATGGCCGCTCGTATTTTGAAAGCTAGAGAACGGAATCGACTAGAAAGTTTAAAGTTACTCAAATTCCTCACGATACTTTCAAATAAAAGGTTTATTGTGCGGTAAAAGCTTTAAAGTGAAACGAAGCTCAAAACAATTTAAAGAAACTTTTGACAGAATGACGGAAAATTTTGTTATTTCGAAACAAATGTTAGACTACTCAGTAAGAGAATTGCTACGGTTTGGTAATATACCCTGTAGCATTATTAAAAGTTGGAATATTTCGCACCTATTGACTAGCAATTGGAATTCTCATTAAAAATACCCGTATATGACAATCTTGTACAAAGCTGAATCGTGCAATTACGAAGGTTTATGAGTATATTTGCCACTGAATGCTATACCATCACCTTTAAGGGGTTGTGTTGTATAATTGCAGAAGTCTACATATAATACGCTATATTAGGGAATGTGGTAGCCCCCGACACGATCTTACTGATCACATCTTCAAACGCGAATTGCGACTGAACGGGGAGTCGGAAGTAGGTACTAACAAAGGGAATGTGGTAGCCATATACTCGCATTCCAGGAGACTTGGGCTATCGACAACGCAAATGACGATATTCCGATGTTTGAAGAAGTTTCCAGGAATCCACTACCAAGCCCTCCTCGAGCATTTGGCCCAATTATTTTCTGTACGTTCGCAATTGAATCGCGTATATCGGATCGAATTGAAATACAGAAAGGCGACACAACCGATCACGTAGAATTGACCGGATTCCGTTTAGACAACCGACTAACGATTATAAACATATACAAAAATCCAGTTCCAAATATTAATTTATTAACGAAAACTATATTGGGGATTGGCGAATACATTAGTGTAACAGATGTCATTCTTCTCGGGGATTTTAATCATCTACTTCAAACTGGGAGGCGACTTGAGGAGTTACTTCAGGATACCTTCGGCAAGGCGTTGCTTTTCACCTCGTGAACCGACTACCAATGGCGGAACGATTGACGGAGTATTTGGTCGACTACCGAACTATAATGTGGAATGCTACATATACGATTGTTATTTTTCCTTCCACAAGCTGATTGTCGTACGACTTTTTTTGAAAAAACAGTAAATATATTTTATAAACTTACGTTACGACTTCTATTTTAAAAATATAAGTGGCTAATAGATCGGCCACACAAAAATGCACGAAGTCCCTTCGATCTTACACGATGACTTTGACCATTTTTTGTGTACAACACCATTCATTTGCAAAACCGTTCATTTTTGAAAGTTTAGAATAGAAACATGGCAAATTGATAAAACTAACCTCAATTTTCTTATTGTAGAATTTATGATTTACATATATATATAATAATATATATATATATATATATAAAATTTCTATTACGATGGTGGCTACATTCTTTAAAGAATGTAAGAAAACATCAAATTGATAACGTTGGAATTTTATTTGTGAAACATCCTGTACTATGTTTTGTAAAATCCCCTCGTTAGATGTCGCCTGTTGTCGTCCCCATCCTTTATTTGCAATCCCTTCTACATCTCCCACCTTGTTGTGTGTCCTATAAAAGGTGTTTGTAAAGTACCAGAGAGCACTTCCGATTAATTCCGTTCCATGTTAAAATCATTCCCCGAACCAGAACCAGACCCGATTCCTGCCCGTTTCGAAAACCTGAGATCCGTTTTAAGTTTATTTTATTTTCCGTTTTAATTCCACCAGAGCTTTTCGTTTTAGTTTCATTATTTTCCTAGACCTATTAATTTGATAATTACTTTTAGTTTTGCCGTTTTACTCACCTGTTCCCGGGAAGATAATCCTGGTAGGGTAAATCCCTGCGGGCTTATAAAACCGGACACAGAACTAGTTCTTTGTATTCTTGCCTTCGGTCGGTCGACCGGACTGGAATCCAAAGAGCTTCCCTTCCGTGGTTGCCGTCTGATTCCACCGACTTTGAGTAGAGGTTGTTGGAACCGGGTGGAAGTTCCTCTGTAAGGGCCGTCGCCAGGTAAATCCTTGACGACCTTATTCGAGAGCTATTACCTCCTGTTCAAGTCAACTCAGGTCGGGTTATTGCTTTGCTGAAAAGCACCTGAAATATAACTGGTGGAGAAAACTTCCTATACTTCCTTTACCTGATATCTCCTCGAGCCTTGATAAGCATCCGGGTTTAGGTGGTAATAACTCTTTATCATTACAGCGAACTAGTAGCACTTGTCACATCCACCGCACGTTTCCAGTTGGGGAAAAGAAAACGCCGTACCAGACCCCAAGGTCAACCGGGGATTTGACAGACGGTGGAGGTGTCTCCGTACCCAACATCGGGATTTGAATATTTGAATTTTTTTATTTATTTTATTTTATTAATTAAACAATTTCAATCAATACGAATTTCGATCTCTGGCCAGCCGGCTGGAGCTACCTGAAGGCAGAACCCCGTTCTGTTTACATTTGGCGCCCGAGGCAGTTTAATTGGATTACTGTAAGGATATTTGTACATAGTTAGGAAAAAGTCTTTATTTTGTTAGAACCATTATTTTAATTTTCTTTTCCAGGGATAACCGTTGTTATAGTTTATTTTCAGCATCTGAAAGAATTTGTTTTAGTAACAGTGGATAGTCAACTTACCATGAATTTAACCGGTGAAAAATTAGGTCCCAGTGACACCGAAGTTCGAGTAGGATGGGTGTACCAGTTAAAGAAACCAGAACTGATTACGGCATTATCAGAGTTGGAGTTAGACAGTGAAGGCAACGTAGACGAGTTGAGAGCACGACTGGTCAAATATTACAGGAGCAAGGAAGCACCTGCAGCAACGTCATTACTGTTACCGTCGTTTCCGCTGCAAATGGAGGTGAGCGAGAAGAAAATTCCTAGGGGTCCACCACCACCAGAAAGTTCAAGAGAGAACCGTGCAACACACCCAGAGGTTGAAACACTTACCGCAGCGCAGATCTGCGACAAGGTGAGGAAATGGGGTGTGAAATTCGATGGCACTCAAGATTCTATGGCTTTCCTGGAAAGAATAGATGAACTAAGGGAATGTTATGGATTCACAGAAGCCGATTTACTTCTCGCATTACCGGAGTTGTTGAAGGGAAAAGCTCTTCTTTGGTATCGCAACCATAAGCAGACCTGGAGGAACTGGACAGACGTCATTGAAAGTTTCAAGGTATATTTCTTACCACAGCGGTACCAATACACCTTGGAGGAAGAAATCAGAAACCGCATTCTGTTTACAAGAAAACATGAAGCAACTTCCCCGTGGCGAACATTCTTACAAAAGTTGTAACGCACTTACGATTAATTTCGATGCAACGGTTGATCCTGCCCGTCTTGAAGGGGAAAGTTAAAGCGAGTATGAAGAGCTGACAACTCTGTGAGGGTGCGTTTATTGTATATAGTACGTAATACATCTTGTATATATTTATTATCCATAGGTATAGAGTAGTAAGGTAAGGTATGACCTTGAGCTCAAACCGACGTCATGACTAAAAGGGTATTGCTCTCCACTGCTATTGCGGGTCGTTAAACGGTCGATAAAGTTAAACGGTCGATAAAGGTTCGTTCAACTCAAAGGCACTCACTGGCCTTTAGTGTGTGGACGGTTATTGACGTGGGGCTATTGAGAGAGTAATGAACTTTGCGGGTCGCTAACCTCAGTTGCATGTATAGACGGAATCTCGTAATGTGTAGTGGGGCGCAGTAGTTATGTAACCCGCATGCGGCGTGTTAGTGCAGATCACATGAAACATGGCGTGGATAACGTATGCTGAGCAATCGTGGACCAAAGCGAGTGATTTTGTAACTGCGGTTGAACGTCTCAAGCAAATGTTTTCGGCGTTATCATTTGACGCGGAACATGAATCCATATACGGCAACGGTCAATATAGTGTGCAAGAGTGTCTGGCCATCGCTAGAAAATGAGTTAGGCGAAGAGATATGTGAGTTATTTGAACAGTAAAATATGTGAGAAATGTGTGGTACATAGATTGAGAAAAGCCTAGTTAGAACAATTATCGAGTTAAGCGAGTGGACTGAAAATGAAGAAGATAACAGTTACAATTGACGAATCACGGAATAGAGTATACATAATGTTGGCGTGGTCGTTTGCTTACGGTGAAGCGCGAAGAGGGTCGTGGGAAACAGTCGCGCTCGATAGCACAAATACGGTAAATATTTTCTTGTGATGTTTCAACAACCACTGTGTGAACTAAAATTTCATGTTTATAGTACGGAGCCGACTGTCGATTCGCAGCTTACAGATATGTTAGATGTGATCGAGGGTAGCGGGCCATCTTGCACCCAAAATCGGTAAATATATTACTTAAACATACAATTCATATAATGAGAGAGAACATGATTATGAATGATCGTTTTTTTTTTACAGAATTTACCCACCATTAATAAGATCGCAGTCGCCGGCTCCTCCACTTCCGCCAGCTGGAGATCAGCATGTGTAGTAAGTTTATCGAATTGTTTGTTAAATCGCTAATGCCATATCCCTTTTCTTGTGTAGCACCACCACAACAACTATGGCAGTGGTTCCAAGGGCTGGCAAAAACATAGAGCAAATGCTTCAGATGTACGGATTTGGTGGAGGAGACCCATGCGGCGCAGGTGACTGGAATGGGAGTCCATCAACACCCAAACAGGTTGCGGAGGCGACGTATGCGAGCCTCCTAAAGATGGCACCGGAATACGAAAGGAAGCTGCTTGACGCGCGGGCCAAGGTGACCAAATTGACCCTCTAGTTAGAGGAAGCTCGGGAGGAAGAAACCTCAATTGATAAAGATGTGAAATATCTTAATAATTTTATGTCATTTTTGACACAAAATTTGTAAATAATACTTGTAAATAAATGTAATAAAAAAATGAATCGTAATTATTGATGTGGACAAGTGAGTGTGCTGTATTAGCGTTGTTTGGCAACGGAAAAATAAAAAAACAATTTTGAGTTTTCTAATTGTATTGAAATTTTGCAATATTCTCCCTAATATAAAAGAATCAAATTTTCTACAATTGGTGACCCCGACGTGGTGTTGGAAGGAGAAGCAAATGTAAATCCATCAATGGAAGGAGGACAAAATAATAACGATATCGCTCGTTGACGATCGCTCGATGACACATTTGTTTTGCTAATTTCAACTTTATTAGTTATGTGAAATCTCTGTTTACAAGAGTTTTGTTATCATTTATGTCAATTTATGAAATTTTGTCGTATAACTACTCCAGTCTATGTCCAAGTATGTAATGGTGTTTCAGCTTATGGTATGGAAACCAGTTTCATAGAGCTCTAGGAAAGTCGGAGAATTTTGGGGTAAGTTCGTATTAATCGTATGTTTATCGGAATATTTAGACTTGGAGATACATTCTGTAGTGTACTATTTATTGGTTTACTTCACATTTTACCTTACATATTTTATCCGTAAGCGATTAACTTTCAAGCGGAGATAATTTTCTTTATTTATGTAAATGTTCATTTCAAAATTTGCTTATTTTGGAGAATTTGATATTTACAATGAAATTTATTTTGACTGATAATTAGGTATGTGTCGAGCAATTTAAAATATTATACGAATGTTGGCAGTTGAGTTATAAATATGGTAAAAATGTTATGATTAAAAATTATTTTGTGGGTCGATAACTGATGTCTTTCATTCGGTGTATACAAGCAGTAATGGTATTTCTCGTAAGTTATGGTATATTTCTATGTTCAGTGCTATAACGTTTGTGCCGAAAGGTAAACATAGTGGCGCCTTCCGGAATATCTTTAATGTGCTCAATTTGATCGTATGGACTACGACCATGTGCCTACTTTGACTGACCTACCGAGCCTTGGCATTTTAAATTTATTACAAGTACGAGTTTCTGCCTGTGACAAACTACGATTTACCGAACACCTTCTCAACTTATGTAATGCAGTGTGGAAAATCCTACCAGCCTTGCAAAAACATTGGGAAGCAAGGTAAGTAGTACTGAAACGACAAAAACTGAAAAAGCTACTGCTCTAGGATTCTTGCGTCTCTGGGAAGATGGAGGTGAACAACACCATCTTACATGTCTAATGATGGACCTTCTAAGAATTTTTGAAACTTCAAAAAGATTGTCAGAAACCTATGATTATAATGAGCGATGTTGAGCTCTCAAAAAAATCGCTGTTGATGCTATTACTTTAATAGACAGAGAACCTTATCCTGGCGGCCATGAAGAAAAACTAAGTCGGCAGATTTTTCCCGAAACTGAAGACGGGACATCAAAAAGAAGACACGTTAATTCCTTAGTTTCTACTAAAAGGTGTTGGCCTGCAGTAAGAAAACAAGTGGTGTTAAGTTACAAAGAATTTCTTTCGCAAAGATTAAATGAGGACCAACAAGAAATTTTGGACCGCATCAATAAATTTGTTAATGCAAGGACAGTCTCAGACTTGGTTAAAGAAGCACGAACAGTTGTTCAGCAGTTATTTGGAGAAGATGCTATAACAGCTTTCACCGACGATGCTATAAGTCTTTTCGCTTCGGAGAAACTCCCACCTCCCCCCCAGATAAACACCGGTACTGGTAAACTATTTCACTTCTTAAGAAGTCTCTATACCACATTCAGTTTTTTCAAAATTCGTTCAAGCATGTATATGTCTCTAACACCACATAGCGCGGGCCCGGAAAGAGCTGCATCCGTTCATACAATACTAAAAACATCCAAACAGTCAGGGTATTCCAGAGAGACTTTAAATTCGAGACTGTATACAGCTATTCACATGCTCATGTCAATATATTGTTGTGTTATTTTGTTTTAGTTGTAACTTGAAAGAAATTATAGAGCGTCTGGATGTGACAATTTTGTTTAGTTCAATTAATTAACCGGGGGGGTTATTAATAATTTGAGACACAGGATTGCGTAAATTTCATGTTATAGTTTTGGTTCAATTTCTTAGAAGTGTTCTGTTTTTATTTTATTCCTAGAATTTTTTTTCGATGTAAATTTCTTTTTAAATTTTATTTGCCGTTAACGAGGTATAGCGCGAAGTAGAGATAAGGTTGTCTTCGCAGAATTGCCGGGCGTACGTGCCGTTTAGCAAGAAGTTGAAAAATCGACGCTTCGCGTGATTGGCGGGCGGGATGTTGAAGAAAGGAGAAGGGCTTTTGGCTTAAATAGAAAATTTTTGAAGAGAGCGGGGCTTTTTGGTCGTTACAAAGCCAACCGGCGCTTCTTCGGTTACGTTATTTTTGAATTTTGTGGAAGTTTCTTGCGTAGTGGATCCAGGTTTAATTAGAATTTTTGTTTGCCGTTTAAGAAGAATTTTTTTTGAAAAGTTTAAGAAGTTTGTCGCCGTCCTGTTTTTTTTTTATTTTGCGGAAACACGGAAGTTTTGAAAATAATTGTGGGTACCCGAAGAGAGAAGACGTCGGTGTTTGAGTGTTTGGTTTGTGTGAAAATTTTGTTGTTGTGATCGTGTACGGATACCTCTTTGTATCAGAGTACGTTACTCGGACAAATTTAAAAGTAAGTAGTAGTTAGTGGTTTGTTTTTGTCATGTTTTTTTGTAATGTTTGAGTAATTTGTTTGTTTTTTTTGTGTTTCATTTATCTGTTTAAAATTGTAACAATTTGTAAAACAGAAATTTACGCAATTTTTTGCCTGAAATTAAACCAGTCATTGCAATCCAGGTTTTGTTTATTAGAGTCAAAGAGAGGTAATTGTCGGCGTCTCTTACTTTGTTTCAAGTTTATTAAATCTGGGGGTAAAGTTTCATATTGGAATTTAAGGATTTGGTTAAGCCACCTACTCATGTCATTGTTGGAATGCTGTAGGGTGGCAGAATCCAGCTGGACCTTGAGATGCGTGTAAAAATTTGGTTTTTTTTAATTACAACTGAGCTAGCTAGAGGTAAATCGTGGGATTCCCAGAAGTGAAGGTTAGGTCTCACAACATATATATATATATATATATATATTTTATTTTCATTTTTTATTTTTATTTTTTTTTTATTTTGTTATACCTGCCGATAATTCGTATGATTCAGCCAAGTCACACGAACATATCAGAAGACTTGTTAATTTTGGGTTGAGTGGAAGAGCAGTCAAGCATGCTTCTATGATTGACTGAACTCCGCCCTTAGGCAGTTAGCTTTAATATAGTACATATTATTTAGATATTTACTTTGTACAACTGCCTAATAAAGACATTTATTATTATTATGGTCGGTGTTTCTTGTGAGAACTCAGGTCTAGCCTGGTTAACTAATCGCACGGATTAAAATCAAGTAACGATTAGTGTCTGTGTCTGTGTCTAGTGAAGTTATGTAGGGTTCTAAAGAAAAATAAAAAATAAAAGAAATATTCGCACACTCACATTGGAAATCTAGGGATAGTATGTAATTCATACTTACCAACATAGCTGTTAATGGCCACAATAGTCAACGCTATCAGGAAAGAAGAAAACAAAACAAAAATATCATTATAATAATTCCTGTACTTTTATTAAATAGAGTTTATTATTATTATTATTATTAATGGAGTCGATACAGCATTTTACGATCCTAGGCCGCCGGTTGCAAAATTTTTAGAAATGAAAGAGAGAAGGAGAAAATTACCAGACGTGGAACTTTATAAAGATCAAGAATTTACAAAAAAGTTTTTTAAACGCACTTCCACAATATAATTGAAGACACGAGTGGATGAAGGTGTTATGATACAAATTTGAAGTTTTGAGTAAATTGACGTTAAAGTTTTTGCCATGTAATTTCTTTCCATGTAGGTCTATTGAATCAAATATTGCCTTGACGATTTACCAGATATCGTATAATGTTAGTATTCATTGATTAGTAAATGGGAGAAGAAATTTGTGATTGTTATTGAAAAAGATATGTACATAACACCTTCATTCTCTAGATTAAATTGCAAAAATACTCCAGAATTTCATGGAAAAGGAGTTTATTGAACACGTCAACAGTAAAACATTGTAGTTATTTTGTAAATATTAACATAACATGCCTTCTCAGTCTTTTAGGATAGCTTCATAATAATACCGGTACTCCTGTTTAACAAACTTGAGCTGCTGCTGTAGCTTGTTCCTCTTTTCGTCTGAGAGAGTTCCATATTTTTCGGAAAACCTTTCAATCTGGATATCTTTAGGTGGCAGTGTGTTTTTCTTATTTTTAAGTATATTCACCTTTTTAAACGGCACTGTTTCATCATAAGATTCTTTATAGAGGTAAGATCCGTATTCTTTGACTTATCCATTTTATTCCATCCCTAAATCTTACAATTTCATTTAATTCGTCTTTCTTTCTGTTTATAAGTCGGAGTCTTTCAGGCAAATCAACTATTTTTCGGAAATGCGGACTCATATCGATCACTTGATTATGTCTGCTCGCTGCTGAAATGATGTTCCGATACGTGTCTGGTATATAAACTGTGTCATGTTTACGTAGCACCTTCTCAATTCGGCCAAAGTCTCTATCAGAGTCCAGGTAGGTGTGGCCCACTTCGGGGAATTTATGATCAATAGAAAGAAAATATCCTTTTAGGATGAGATACTGATACAGGCAGATCATATGAAAATTTTTATTTTTGCCTGCGCAAGAATCGGACCATATTATTAAGCGATCTTTTTGCTTGACATAGTCATCGCATTCAATAAATCGTAAAAGTGCACTGCTTATCTCTGAACTACCTCTATTCGCCATGTCTTCCGTCCATGTGCAAAAGTATGCTCTTTCCGTATTCTTTCCAACAACGTGGATTCCAAAATTATAGAACCACATCTGTCTCAAGTAGAAGGCTTTTGA